AGAAACTAGAGACATTTATAGCTAAATGGATGCACATTGAGGCCATACTCTTAAGTGAAATAAATAGGACACACACGTGTAAATAACGAATAGTTTCTTTAGTGTGAGAAACTGAAAGCATAAATAAGGACTAAAAGGTAGAATAGATAATGTGAAATAGGAAGAAAATGTCCAAAGGGGAAGGAGAAGTGGGAGGGGAAGTGGAAAGGAAAAAAGGGAAAAGAAAAAACATGAGAAAAGGAAAAACATGGAAACAAAGTCTTTGTAAATAGGGAAAGGTCAAGGGGGTGAAGGGAGGGCAGGGGAATGGGGAAAAAATAAGAACCAAGATACATCATGTAAAGGTACAAGATCCCAATGATAAATGTAACTGTACTGTATATCTAAAATGTACCAATAAACTAAATGGGAAAAAAAACACCTAAAACTAGAGGTTCCATTTGATCCAGCTATTCCTCTTCTTTGTATCTTCCCAAATGAATTTAAAGCACCATATCACAGTGATATATGCTCACCCATGTTTATAGCAGCACAGTTTGTAATAGCTAAATCTTAAAAGTAGCCGAAATACCCATCTACTGATGAATGGATAAAGAAGTTGTGGGGTTTTTTATACAATGGAGTACTACTCAACCATAAAGAAGGATAAACGAGCCATTTATAGCTAAATGGATGCACCTTGAGACCATACTTTTAAGTGAAATAAATCAGGCACACATGTAAATACTGCATTGTTTCTCTGATGTGAGAAACTGAAAGTGTGAATGAGGACCAAAATGTACAATAGACATTGTGAAATAGGACGAAAATATTCAGATGGGAAGGGAAACTAAGGAGGAGGGCAGGGGAAAGGAAGGAAGGGAAAAAAAAAATGAGAAAAGAAGGAAAAAGTGGAAACAAAACTTTTATAAATAAGAAGGGGTTGAGGAGTTGAAGGGAGGGAAAGAGAATAGGAAAAAATAAGAACCAAGATATGTCATGTACAGGTACAAATTCCCTATGATGAATGTGATTGTTACATATACCTAAAATGTACCAATAAACTTAATTAATTAAAAAAAAGATTTTATGGTCTAAAAAGTCCATGTGAGTTGCCTTGGGCCACATAGCAAGATTGGCTTGTTTACCTGGCCCAAAAGAGATAAGAATATAAGTCTTCTGACATTTAGCTCAATTTTTCCACTACAGAAATAAAATATTAAAAAGACTTTTTCTTTACAAAGATATTTACTAGGCATCTATTAATACCCCATACACCTACCACTAAAGAGCTATGTGACAATTCAAAACAAATATGTTGTTTCTGTACCTTTAAAATACTCAAGTAACCTGAACCATGAAGCACTAACCTCTGAGGTTCTTCAGGATGTTCTCAACTTCATAAAAAGTGGCATTGCCCATACTTAGTGCTTCTTGGGCTCTGCTTTTAGCAAGGCTGGCACGGGAAAGCAGCTGATCTGATTTCTATAAATAGAACAAGATTAGAATAAGTGCATTCCTGCTAGCAAAATGACTCTGACACATTCTCTTCATGACAACAGAGTGCTGTGATTCAGTCTAGGGGTGCTGGAGCAAAGCCTCTACCACATGGGACAAAGCAAACTTTATCAGCAGTCTTCAATGTTAGTCCACCATCAACAAGAATAGTTTTGCAAGTCACAATTTTAAACTCTAGACACTTATTGAAGCCAAGCTAGTAGACAGAACAAAATTAGACCCAGGAGGCTTAGGTCTTATTCCCATTGCTGAGTTAGTGGGTGGAGCTAATTACATTGAGATCCATGACTCAATTGCTCCTCTATAAACAGCAGCTCCATGACCTTCAGAGAGCTTGAGGCCTCTTCTTGCCATATTCCTTTAGATGCAAATGTATGCTATATGCTTGTTGAGTGAACAAGTTAACAAAAGGGTACCTGTCTCTCTTTCTTTCCATCCTGTAAGAGCTGCTGGGTTTCTTTTCCCCAGTTTCCCAGATTGCTTCGCACGAGCTTGAACTCATCTGTATGCCTGGTCACCAGGCTTGAAAGAGAATCAGCTTTCTTTTGAATCCTCTTTGCTTCTACCTGTGGGCCCAAAGACATGGATGAGTCTGACTTTCTGCTCCTCAGTCACCAATAAGAACTTTTGGCAGCTGACATCATTGTATGAAAACAACAAAACCCTTAAAAAGCAAAAAAAAAAAAAAAAAAATCACTAGCCATCCAGTTCCCATGCCTGACAGAAATAAAGCAATACGCCCAGTGGAAGTTAGGCAACAGGTCCCCCAAGCATTTGCTTTTTTGAAAAATTTACATATTAGGTTACATATCCATGGGAACATGTGTCCATGAGAATTATTGTGAGTGCTTTTTTTCTATAGAGTAAAAGTTGATAGAAACAGAATCTACTTAATCTAATGAGTTTGGAATAGTGAAGGGAAGATTAAAGCAGAAACAATTCAAATCTCTTGTTACCAAATGTCTTCTCATTGGCTATACATACAGATGCATCCAACTATAATAACCTCCCATAGATTTCAACAGACCTCAGAACTAAGGAAGAGATATAAAACTTTGACCTACTAAGAGGTTGACAATGAAAAGACCTTTGCAGAGACTAGGATTGGAGTTTAAGAACAAAAGAGTGGGTAAGAAGAAGAATGACTATTTTTCCTATCCTAAAGTAAGAAGAGTCAACACTATGGTTTAAGTATGCAGGGTCCCCTGTAGTGAGGTGCTATTGGTAGGTGGTGAAGCCTTAGGGAAGGAGATCACAGGGGAAGGTTCTTGGGTCAATGGGGTTTGAGGTCAGTTTGCGCCCTTAAAAAGAACTGTGCTGCCCTGCCATTCTCTTCTCTCTCTATTCCTTGTTCAAGATGTGAACATTTGCTGTGGCACAGCTCCCTACCATTGCTATCTGCCACCCTCACCAGCACTGAGCCAATGCGGATGCCAGACCTGTGAACTTCCAAAGCCATGAGCTCAATACACTTTTTTTCTTGATAAATTAGTTGCCTCAGGTATTCCATTGTAACATGAAGCTGACTAATACAGTCAACACAGAGAAAGGCTGAACGGCTGAACAATGTTAAGAAATCTCTAGAGAAGCAAATATTTATGTGCCTTTAACTGTATCTTGAGCACACACGATAGGTGCCCTTACCTGAAACGTCTGATCATTGACTCCCTGGAGCTGAGATACTGAATCCAGAAGGCGGAGACTATGCTGATAAGACTTATCTGCTTCTGTGTCAGTCTGAGTGGCTTCCCTTGTCAACTGCTGGGCCAGGGACTTGGTTTTCTCCAATCTGTGGGGAGGAAGGACCGATGAATAAAAAGGCAAAGGTCTTTGAGAATTTACTCTTTTTATAGAAGCAAAACTCATCCTCCTGCCTTAAAAGTATGAAGTTGAAATAACAAGAAGAACCAAAGATGGTTGTGTCAGGTATGTGACCCTCTCCACAATATAAACATATCCTTATAGTTTATACAGTTGAATCAGAAAAATTCATATCAAACTTTCCAATCCCTGCTAATATAATACATATTATTCTTATATTATTTATAATGTCAGATGTGTTTACATACACCCTTCAAACAGCACAGAGGGTAACTATCTCTCCAAGAATTGCAATCACTCAATCAAAGCATAAACTTCATTTAATCACCTGTTCTTCTTCCAGTCTTAAAGATATTTGCTTTGCCCAAAATATTATGTTCATTCTCTTGTCCCTGAAATTATTAACTTTAGGAATAGCATACATTTTTAAAATAACATTGTGCAGGGCAGGGGATTTAGCTCAGTGGCTCTACCGCCTGCTTTGCAAGTACAAGGTCCCGAGTTTGATCCCCGGTACCCAAAAAAAACCATGGTGCATTATACCCTAGGAGAATCTAGGTTTTATGGTACAAGTGAGGACCCACTGAAACATACTTTCCCATAAGTCCTTGTATTGCATGGTTGTCAGTGATTTCGCTACCAACAGCTTCACTCAGAGCCTTGCCGGCCAGTAATAATGCTTGTTTGGAATAATCCTCAGTTTTCTTTACCAGTTGCTCCATGTTACTGGCTGACTCAACATGGCTGAAGGATTAAAAACAAAGAATTTCCATAGCAAAGGACTTCCTTAAGGATTTTCATGTAAATAAAGAGAGAAGAATAAGGAAACTGGTTGGCTTAGAACACCCAACAGAACTGACTCAGATTGGATAGAATTAGAGGAACTGTCAAAAAGCAGGTGTTCCGGAGGGTAAGCCTCATGTCATAGACCTATGGTGGTCTTTTATGATACACTTAGTGAAGGTGACAGTCTCAAGGTGACAAAACATTGTGCCTTGGGCCAGGGATTTAGCTCAGTGGTTTTGCCGCCTGCTGCGCAAGCACAAGGACCTGAGTTCGATCTCTGGTACCAAAACAACCCAAAAAAACATTGTGCCTGTTACTGCAGGAAGAAGCCCCTAGGATTTATTTCATCCATGGTCCAATGCCCTATTCTCTTTCACTGCAACTCTAAAATGGATCCAAGCCAGGGGAACAAAGTCTGTAAAAAGAAAAGTTCATTATAAACTTCTGTACTCCTGGTTCTAGGAAACGATATTTTTAAAAGCAACAAAATGTGGGCTCAGGAGGCAGGTCATGCTAAAAAAACACAGCCCCTTTCACTGACTGAATTCCATTTGGGATTAACAGAGCCTGCTACCCTGCTGAGCACTCTGCTACAAGCAAGCCTCTTAAACATGATTGGATTTACAGTCAGAGGCAAAGACCAAGAGAGCAGCCATTTACCACTGGCTCTTGCAGAGCTGGTTTCCAGGAGGAAGTACCCCTCTACACACTTGCTCTCGCCACCCCCTTCATCCCTCAGGCTAGCAAACTACTTGTTGCTACTTGTTCCCAGGCTTGGTTTGGGAGGCTAGGAGTCCCTGAAAGCTGCAGAACGTCCTTTTCCAAAGGCTAATTCATTTTATGTGACCCAAGGGATTATATCTGACATACACCAAGGCCACACTGTGAGTCACAGAGAAATCTAGGGATGAAACTACCCCCACTTCCTACCATATGACTCTGCCCAGTGACTTACACTAAAAGCCAAGTGGCTAAAAAATGACTTCAAGGTAGGGGATGGCTTATATGAGCACAGAGGGAATGACTATGGTACTTGGGTCCTGAATAACCCATAGTTTTGTTCAGGTTTGCCTTACAGAGATGGACTGGATCAGAGGTTCCTTCTAATGCTGCTCACCTGTCTGCCAGCCTCATGGCCTCCTGAGCCAGACTTTTAAAGCCATTTGGTCCCACATACTGGTCAGAGGGAGGAATGTCCTGTGGCAAAAGAAGAACTGGTGAAGGGTTTGCACTCGGCCATGGAGCCTATGTGAGTATGGTTCAAGCATTAGCCACACAGGATTCCACAACCGGACACATTAAGAGTCCCTATTCACTATGATTGCTCCATTTTAAAAAGTAGGCATAGAGAAGAACAAAATACAAATCCAGGCTTTAAAAAAGTCTGCAGAAAGATATAGATGTATTAAAAATATAGAAATGCAGTTGAGCATGGTGGCACACTCTGGTAATCTCACCATTGTTGGAGGCTGAGGTGGGCAGATCACAAGAATGAGCATAGCCCGAGTAATTTAGTGACTTAGTGA